CTACTCTCCGCGTTTTGGAAGCATTCTTGTCCTGCGACATGGCGCTGGTGTGTGGAATAGTCATGTAGCGATCGTTCAATCCATGGGTTTGCAAGCTGTGGACGTGGCTCACACCGAATAGGTCGGTGACTCAGTTTCTCAACGCAACAGACCTCTGTTAAAAAGAAGAAAATTGACAAAACTTATGAAGGGACACTTGTAACAGTCAGCGCACAACATTGCGCCAAGCCAAGGCTCCTCAAGTCTGCCCTTAAGGAAGCCTCAATGGGAGTTCTTCATCCACTGGTTCTACCTCTAACTAAAAGCGAGCGTTATCATTTATCCGAAAGTCCAAAGTCCTGGGAAAGGTGTCATAGGCCGATGTCAGACTTTGCGAGCAGCAATTTGCTAACGTACCGCTGGATACGAGCGGTGCACCAGCGAATCGAGCTGTGTAGCAGCGGATCGAACTACACTCTGTTTCATGCAGCCAGAAATCCACGTGGCACACGTGGCTAAATTCTCGATGAAAAGGTGACATCACGTGTGCTCAAAGATGTTCTTGAATCGATGCCACGTTAATGCCACGTCAATTTCTGCAATTGCACAATTTCTGGTCATTTGAAGGCGAGGGTATGTGCCAGGGATTGAACGATTCACACGCGGATCGAACGGTGTACCAGCGACTCAACACTGTTTGAAAGTGGTGGGACTTCCTTTGAACGTTTATCCCGCCACTTTCAAACAGTGTTGAGTCGCTGGTACATCGTTCGATCCGCTGGTACATCGTTCGATCCGCTGGTACACATCTCGATTCGCTGGTGCAACACTCCTACCCAGATCCATAGAACGGCTCGGCTCCGTGACTTACTTCACACATTGATGGGTGGTGGAGGCGAGCGCGGGCGAGTCGGTATTGCTTTCGTTACGCGGGTAAGTTTGAAAACGCTCCATCAGCACAGTTCGCCGGCAATTTGAGTGGAGCGTTGTCAAATTTACCTGCGCAGCAGAAGCAATACCGACTCCGCCGCGGCCTCACCGCAATATGTGAAGAAAGTCTCGGAGCCGTACAGCTCGGACAGCAAAAAGAACGAATATTCCGTTTTTTTTTCTAGAAATTTACTTTCTGGGCCAAACATGAAGTTTTCCCGAATTGCTGGAAATTCTGTTCGCATGGCTTCCAGAAATATACTGCCCGACACTGCCCCCAC